CCCAAATCACCCCCATATATATGGTCCGATTTTGTTTAGTTTAGGAGTTATGATTTTTTTTCGGATTTTTCGAGAATTTTTGAGTTCTGTGTTTATTTTTACCATAACTTCGTTAATAATCGTGATAAATGCCTGCTTTTTTCACGATTATGTAGCTAAGACCTAAGGCTTAACTATCATATAATCATTCAAGTCATGTAACTAATACTACTTTTTAATTTTTTTGAAAATCTTCGAACATAACAAAAAAGTAAAAAAGTGCAACAACTTTGAACGTTTATAAAAAACTGAAAAAACATGTTCTTACTATTCGTAAGTATCTTAAAAACTTCCTTACGGTATCAGCTATTTACCGTAAAAATTTCATCAACCTAGCTTTACTACATGCTACCGTAATTGTGGCTCAAATAGAACCGAACCCAAAATTGGATAACCCTCTGCTCAATAGAAATTGTTAGTTTCGGAAAAAAAATTTGCAAAAACCACAAAAACACGTTTGATTTTTACTGAACAGCAGATTATTATTCATTTATGTTATTTACAAGAGGTTTTCAAAATGTCTGCCTCTAACAGAAATGCACAGTGTACACCTACGTATGAAATTTTGTTTTAAATCTCTAAATGCTTGTGTGTTGTTTTTCAACACATGTGTCGCTTCTTGAATTTTGTTCCTCAATGAATTTTCATTTGCACATTCTTGGGCGTATGTTATGTCTTTAAAATATCCCCAAACAAAAAAATCAATGGGGTTGAGGTCAGGGGAGCGTGGAGGCCATCGTATCGGTCCGTTTCGTCCGACCATCTGTCTGGGAACCTTTCGTTTAAGTAGTTTCGCACGATCGTTGCGTTGTGGCATGGTGCACCATCATTCTGGAACACCATGTTCCGTCTGGCTTCCAGGCTTGAATCTTCCAGCAATAATGGTAGGCTATTTTCAAGGAAGCTTTTGTAGGCTACCGAATCCAACCAGCAATGAAGGATATCCTACAGCTGATCCGGATCGCAGAGAAGTAGTACTTGAAGAAATTAGCCGGAATCCCTCAACGAGTACGAGATCTATGGCACAAAACCTTAGAATACCACGAACATCGATACAAAATATTCTTCATGAAGAAGGTTATCATGCCTATCATGTTCAAAGAGTTCAAGCGTTGATGCCTTCAGATTACCAGTTAAGAGTGGATTTCTGCGAGACAATGCTGCGAAGACAACGAGAGGATCCCGATTTTTTTGATAAAATTTTATGGACTGACGAGTCACGTTTTGGAAGAACAGGGATATTCAATATCCATAATTTACATATTTGGGCTGTTGAAAACCCCCACCAGTCAAGGCCGTCGACATTTCAACACCGTTTTAGTGTGAACATGTGGTCAGGAATATTCAATATGGAATTTATCGGTCCATTTGAACTGCCGTCAAGGTTGGATTCGGTAGCCTACAAAAGCTTCCTTGAAAATAGCCTACCATTATTGCTGGAAGATTCAAGCCTGGAAGCCAGACGGAACATGGTGTTCCAGAATGATGGTGCACCATGCCACAACGCAACGATCGTGCGAAACTACTTAAACGAAAGGTTCCCAGACAGATGGATCGGACGAAACGGACCGATACGATGGCCTCCACGCTCCCCTGACCTCAACCCCATTGATTTTTTTGTTTGGGGATATTTTAAAGACATAACATACGCCCAAGAATGTGCAAATGAAAATTCATTGAGGAACAAAATTCAAGAAGCGACACATGTGTTGAAAAACAACACACAAGCATTTAGAGATTTAAAACAAAATTTCATACGTAGGTGTACACTGTGCATTTCTGTTAGAGGCAGACATTTTGAAAACCTCTTGTAAATAACATAAATGAATAATAATCTGCTGTTCAGTAAAAATCAAACGTGTTTTTGTGGTTTTTGCAAATTTTTTTTCCGAAACTAACAATTTCTATTGAGCAGAGGGTTATCCAATTTTGGGTTCGGTTCTATTTGAGCCACAATTACGGTAGCATGTAGTAAAGCTAGGTTGATGAAATTTTTACGGTAAATAGCTGATACCGTAAGGAAGTTTTTAAGATACTTACGAATAGTAAGAACATGTTTTTTCAATTTTTTATAAACGTTCAAAGTTGTTGCACTTTTTTACTTTTTTGTTATGTTCGAAGATTTTGAAAAAAATTAAAAAGTAGTATTAGTTACATGACTTGAATGATTATATGATAGTTAAGCCTTAGGTCTTAGCTACATAATCGTGAAAAAAGCAGGCATTTATCACAATTATTAACGAAGTTATGGTAAAATTAAACACAGAACTCAAAAATTCTCGAAAAATCCGAAAAAAAATCATAACTCCTAAACTAAACAAAATCGGACCATATATATGAGGGTGATTTGGGTTCCTCTCGATGTGGGGAATCTAATTTTTGTTTTATGACGTCACGTGTTTAGCCACCCTGTATAAGAGCTTTAATAGTAACACTTTACATACTTCAATCAATGAGCTTAATGATGATTTGGAGGCAATAGTAGGATACTCAAATGGTAACAATCTTAAGCTCAATAAGGATAAGTGCTCAGTGATGCTTTTTTGTCCTGCTGTCAAACGTAACACTATACTGTATTCTCTTGATGTAAAAATCGACAAGGAGCGTCTAGCTGTCGTAAATACTACAAAAAATTTAGGGTTGATTATTGATTATACTTTACGGTTTCAGGAGCATGTTTCTTCTATCTTAAAAAAATGTTATGCAACTTTGAAGTGTTTTTATGTCAATCGCTCTATTTTGAATTTTAAAGTTAGAAAAAAGTTGTGAGGCTATTATATTTCCAAGCTCATTTTATTGTAGCACTGTGTTCTATCATTGTCTTGATTCTATCACAAAAGCAAGACTCCAAAAACTCCAAAATACTTGTTGTCGATTTGTATTTAATTTAAAGAAGTATGATCATGTTTCCTTAAAGAGATTTCAGCTTGGTTGGATGTGTATAGAAAATGCTTGCAAGTACCATATAGCAGTGTTTACACATAAGATCATATCTTCTCGATCCCCCTTGTATCTTTATGAGAAATTTGTTTTCAGACGAGATAATTCAGACATTGATTTCAGACACAAAAAAAGACTAGAAATCCCTATGTATAAAACAACTTCATTTCGTAGTTCATACACTTACAATGCTATCCTGATTTATAACGAATTATATGACAATATAAAGGATTGGCCAGTAAACAGATTTCGTAAGCATGTGAAACAGATTTATTTGTCATTGTAGTAATTGTGGAAAAGTTAGTTTTTAATTCTTATATTTTATTTTATTTTTACGTAATATATGTGTGTATATATTATGTATGTCAGGAAGCTATCAAGCTCATTGTTTTGAAGCGGCTTTTGCTGCTTGTCAAAGTTTCCGTTGATTAAGTATTTCAATTTATTATTTGGGTAGGTTAAGTAGAGTAGCCAATAGCTAGACTTCGCCTACGTAGAGGTCACATTATGTTGTAGTTTATATAATGTGCCTAATAAAGACATTTTATTATTTATTATCATTATTATTAATGGGGGAAGGAGAAGTGGTGATTTTACAAATTTTACTAAGGAAGCTCAAATATCTTTTTTAACAAGCAGGATTTATCACCCCGTATATGTCCATTGCATTAGTATTTTCTACTTCTTTTGCAATAATAATCGCTGGCTCTAAGTAGCGAAAAGAAACCCTGCATTAAACATCTCAAGACCGCAACACAAGATATATCTTTCCGTATCAATCTTTTCGCAGCTGAAAAGAAAGCGCTCACAATACAGACATTGCCGTCATAAGCAGTTTAAATTCTTGACGGGTAAAAAGGAAATACTCGGAAAAATATGATCGCGTTCAAACCACTTCCTGAGCTCATTGTTCGGAGTCGGCGGTGCAACGAGAATGTGTATTTATCAACATTTACGTTCGTTTTCCGAACCTGAATTTCCGCTCAGAACGTTAATGGAAGGAAAAGAACAAAAGCTTTTAGGGACTCCGGTAAAGTTTGATTTCGTAAAAGACATTTGACTTTGTGATTACCGGCAGTTTGTTAAGTGTTCTGAGAAATACATATCCGCATCCCTTTAGGGACGTAGCTGAAGCCTACGAATTAAGGCATGTTTTTTACTCCGAAGCAGCCGCGCAGGCAGAAGCCTAAGTGCCAGGGCACCGCAGCCCTGACAGACCTTGTCTAAACAGCATCGAGCATGGATAAAGTGAATATGTGAGCAATACTTGAGGATAGTTTTTATTTGGGCCTTGTGCAGAGTGAGGAGGTCATGTGGAGAAAAGTACTTCTTATCCCTAAAAAAATACGCCAGCTTTTTCTGGACATCGAAACCAGATGGGCGCTAGGACGTTTTTTGCTCGCCAAGGTAAAGTATGAAACTGTACAAAATTGTTGTGTGCCCAAGCAGTGAAAACCTCCAGGTCTTTTGTCAGCGAGGAAGCAGTCGCTGCTAGGCTTCTTTTGTCCTACTCACTGACTGCGATCGGATTGTCATTATGAATTTCTGCATGTAGAGTGCTGTCACCAGCAAAGCTATGCATTGAATTGATAGGCACAGGAAATGAGGTCGTTGATATGTTTTCTGCCGGAAGAATTACTATTAAGAAGATTTTGCAACTAAGAAGATTTAATACGTAACCGTAAGAAGAATTTATAAAAAAACTCATTTCTACAGAGAAGATTTTTGCTGAAGAATCCAAGTTTGCGTTTTTCAATTGCAATCTAATTTTGTGCATAGCTTTAAGTTTTGTTTTCACCTATTTTTACTCATTTTTATCTTTCATCTTTTAATACATTTTATTTTGTGCCATTTGTTAATCGTTTTGTGCCTACCGAAAGAGAAAGATCTCCTATAAGAATGGCTACTTCAAATCAACAGAATGTCGTTCAGCATGACAATCCTCAATTAATTTTTAACATGCTAAAAGATTCAATTCCTATATTTGATGGCTATTCAAACAATCTTTCTACATTTTTAAGAAAGTCTACAGAATTTTATAACGCTTTACCTATTTCCTATAAAGGACATGCTTTAACATTTATTAAGTCTAGATTACAAGGTGAACCTGCCGAATTTACAGAACAAACTAATCCTATTACTATTGAACATCTTTCTGCTATTTTAACCACTAGATTTAAAGATTACCAAACTGAAGAAAATTTGACTCGTCAACTTTTTGATATTCATTCCCAAACAAAATTGACCCCTTTCGACTTGTTATATGGTCACCGTGAACCTCTTCAGACTTATGAAGAATTTCAAAAACAACAATCCGAAAGACGAAAAGAATTAGCTGACAAAATTTACAATAAGACTTTGCAAACAACTGTTAAGCGCAACGAGAGCTCCAAACCTTCCAAAATCCCTGTATTAAAAGGCCCTATTTACATGACGCTACTAGACGTCCAAAGAATTTACCCAAATATCAAAAGCACGAAACCTACAATCAAAATGGAACCCAAATTCAGATAAAAGATCGGAAACATATGATTAAACAGATTAAACAACCTCGCATTGTTTCAGATGTGTGACGATCACCATAGCTGTCCATATAGCCTCGGAACATTATTTGCAACCCATACAACAGATACGTTTGGGTAATGCAAGAAATATTCATCACTATCACAAAGTCTATTTCTCCATTAACCTCATTGATATTTCACATACCATGCAAATGTTTTCTTACCTAATTGAATTGCATAATAAAATTCCCACCAGCTTAGATAATCAGTTTCAAAATTTATACGAAGATACTCATTCCAAGTTCGAAACTTTAACACACCATAAAATCAAACGCGGACTTATAAACGGTTTAGGTTCTATAATTCGTTTTATTTCTGGCAACCTTGATCAAAACGATTTAGATCTTATTTTGAAAAATCAGAACGCTTTACGAAATAACCAGAATAGCTTGCTTGAAAGTCATCAGAAAACTATCACGTTTTGCAAATCTCTTCAAGAATCTTTTGAAAATAATACAAGAAGAATTCAGTCAATTATTATTCATAATGTCCAAACTATTGAACATCAGTCTTTGTTATCACACCAGACGATCCATCAGATCTCAATTATTACAAATTTGCAACGATTTAATTCATATCTAAATTCACTTTTATTAGTTCTACAATTGAACCAGCAAACAGGTCTCAACACCTTACAATTATCTCATCATCAGATTACCTTACTTATTGAACATTTAAAATCCATTTATAAGAAGAATTATTGCCATTCGACAAAATACATTTATTTGAGATTTAAGATCTTTCCCTTTTATCACTTATACTTTTAGAAAACCAACTTATTTTTGTAGTTGTGTTTCCGATTTTAGATGTTAGAACTTATTCCTTATTCAAGTTATTTTCAATCACAGTCAAAAAAGAATTAGTAAAATTACCAAGTGATTATATTTTATACTTTGAAAAGTATTATTATTGCAAAAATATAGAGAGAATTATTTTATTGGTTTTATTTATAACAATTTTTGTTAGATACCGTTATGTAAAGGATACTAAAACTCCACCTCAAAGTAGTGATATTTAAGAAACTTCTCCTTCAAATTAAAAGTTCAAATCATTTTTTGAGATTGGAGACCAATCTTTCCGAGGAGGGAGGAGTTATGGAATCCTGATGATTACCATTTCAACGGTACGGCTAACACCGTCCCGATGCCCTTGTGATTAGCGCCGTCCATCCGGTTTCTAGTTACAGCGTTAGGTGTTATCTTTGTGAGAACATTCCTGACTTTGCATTTTGCTATATTTTACTTTTCATAAACTGAATATGAAATGTAACTAGCGTTGTTGTCATCCTGTTTTCATCCAATAAAGTTCCTGCTATAGTTTCGAACCGAAACCACACTGAGTTTCATTTCTTATACTAACTGGGATTACCTACTTGAATACCTCGATGTCAAGATCGACTCCTTGAACATCAATCACCCTGCTTCAGAGGTAGTACACCTCGGTGATTTCGATGCCCATATTAAGCTCTGGCTAAGCTCAAACAAGACCGATGCAGCAGATGTAGAATGCTCAATTTTTTTACTTGCCATGAATAAAAGTATATTCTTTAATGCACCATTTAATTCCATCACTGATGGAGCCGGTGTGAATTTATGGTTGACAGCTTATGTGATGACGTCAACAACCGGTTCTGTTGAATGGTGGTTAATAAAAAGATGCATTTTTAGCCTTCAGGTTGCTGTCATATGAGGAAATTTAACCTTTGATTTATCGTGAATGGATAATTGTTAATTTGAAGTCCGCATCATTTAAAATCATTATGGCAATGTACGCAGCAGATCTTGTGGTGGAACGTTTGTTAAGCGATTCGAGCGATGATTCGGATGAAGAAGTTATCCAGTAGAGCGAAAGAGCAAATTTTCAGATATGTAACGGTGATTTTTTAAGGGGTATAGGATTTGATTTTCAAAAAAACACAAAAAATTTGAAAAAACGATTAAATCTTTATTTGAGTCGATAGAACGGTCGATATAATTTAATGTTTAAAGATTATTTCGTGTAAATGTTGGCCGCGGCTCCACGTTAGATGGCTCATGCGCAAGGTCCAATTTTGGCACACTTTCTCCAACATATCGGCCGGTATCTCACGAATAAATGCTTCAATATTGGCTTCCAGTGCGTCAATCGTTGCTGGTTCATCCCTGTAGACATTAGCCTTAACATGGCCCCACAAGAAATAGTCCAACGGCGTTAAATCACACGATCTAGGCGGCCAATTGATGGGCCCCAAACGTGAGATAAACTGTTCACCGAACTCGCCTCTCAATAGGGCCATTGTTTCGTGTGCGGTGTGGCATGTGGCACCGTCTTGTTGAAACCACATGTCAGCCAGGTCCAGCTCTTCCATTTTGGGCAAAAAAAAGTTCGTCACGGTAGCATATGCCTATGTTTGGGAAATGTTTCTGCAGGTGTCAATGGTAATTGTAACAAAATTGATGATATCAAGATTAAAAGGACAACCAGTCACTGTCACATGTGTATGTATGACATCAAACACGAGAAAAACACTATGATTTAACATTCCAACAATTTTATTTAACGAATTTTTAGCCACTTTGATGTCGATACTCTTGTTACGGTGTCCCGGGCTGCTTCTAACAAAAATCGTTGCACTCGCAAGCGTTTTTTGGCTGAAGTATTCGTGATTCGCTGCATGGACCATCGCTATCGGTCCTAAAGGCAAAAAACCGTTTCCCACGCGCTGGTGCGTGCATCGTTGACGTTCATACCAAACACTTCAATTAGCCATACTGCTACGCGAAACCAATTCACCACCAGAAGTCGAATACTCAGTTTGTCAAAAACACGACTTATCACTACCCTTTATGTAACGCCTTCCACATGGAGTGGCCTAATAGGCGTAACGCGGCATGACGCCCGCTCCAAAGTATACAGAATACTAAGAGTTGGGTCACATCAAAAAATTCGGCCTCGGTAGATGCAGCAACCGTGCGATTTGCTTTGATCCACAAAATCGTAGTCATCTTGCGCGAGGAGAATTCTTCAGGATCCACATTTCCATCCTAGCAATTGCAAGTGTTCAGGAATTTTCTGAACATGACTCCAATTCTCGGAAGGCGGCATGTGATCGTCTTCTTTAAGTCGATCTTGATGACGCTTTTTTTTCAGTGATGAAGCCTATTTTAGATTGTGTGGATACGTCAACAAACAAAACATGCGCTACTGGGCTGACAGCATCGCGAATTGTCTCAAACGCCTTTGCATTCACCTAAAGTCACCATATGGTGTGCAGTTTCCTGAACTGTAATCATTGGTCCCTGGTTCTTTGAGGAAACGGACCGGTATGTAAACATGTAACAGGAATTTTTTCACACGGGTAGATGAGTTGGACTTAGGGGTCATTTGATTCTAACAAGACAGTATTTTGAAGGCTTCATCTAAATTAGATGAGATTTGGAGTAGCCGGTCCGCTCTCCCGATATGGCCTCTTGTGATTTTGTCTATGGTGTTTATTGAAGTTCCGTGTTTAAGTGAACCGACCAAGGACTCTACAAGATTTGAAGACCAATATCCAGGAAAGAATTGCCAATATAATGCCCGCTATGCTCGTAAGATTCATGACAAATGCCAGAAATCGGTTGACTCAGTGTATGGAGAACGTCAAAACTATGTAAAATAAAGCTGTGAGCATGCGCATACATTAAAAAACAAAAATGTCCTTATTCTTAAAATGTGTTTTGTTAAGTTTTGAAAAAATACACTGTATTATACAGGGTGTAAACGTTATGATAGTCATTATTTAAATGGGTGATAGAGGGGGTTTAAAGAAGCAAAAAGTTTCATATAACATGGGGGCCAAATCGGCATTTTTTTAGAGAAAAGCAATCAACTAAAAAAACGGACTTACCACTAACAGTCTCAGCGCTTCACCTGGTGTGTGAAAGTTTATAGAACGTATTAAAAAACCACTTATAAATATTTTGATACATACATTGTTTTTCTTTTTAAAACCCACACTGCACTTTTTTGTATTTAAAGAAGGTGTTCAAAATGTCGTCCTCCACTTTCCACGCAAGCTTCATTACGACGAACCCAGTTTCTTCTTACTCTAGGTCGTCGAAGTTGTCCACTTATTATTTCAACCGCATTAAAAATTCTTTCGCGAAGTTGTGCTTCAGTTGCTACTGGACCAGCCCCATAAACCATCCCTTTAAGTTCTCCCCAATACCAGAAATCCATCGGGTTGGAGTCAGGAGATCTTGCTGGCCATTTTCGAGGATCAGAAGCATTTCGACCGATCCAGCGATTTGGATAATGTTCATTCAAATACTGAATGACGCCTCTAAAAATGTGTGGTGATGCCCCGTCATGAAGTAACCACGTCAAAAATACCCGCCCAAATATTTATTTTAAAACGTTGTTGGAAATGACCTTCACGAATGGTATGAGGATTTTCTTGGGCCCACGTGTGAGTATCATGGAAATTTAATATCCCATCTCGCGTAAAAGTACATTCGTCCGTCGCTAGAATGTTTTTAAAAAAATCCGGATTTTCAATGTTTTGTGCAAAAACCACTGACAGAATGTTAGTCTGCGATGATAGTCTTCTGGTTACAAGGCCTGTACTCGTACATGGTAGGGATAAAGCAAATTTTCCCATAGGATTCTATGAACTATGGTATGCGATAGTCCTACGCGGCGGCCTAATTCCCAAGTGCTGATATCTGCCTTGATTTCCACGATATTTAAAATTTGTTCCTCCTGCTCTACAGTAACCTGTCTTTCACGAACGCAAATATTAGTGGGCTGATCACTTCCTGTATCTCAAGGTCTTGCAAGATTTGAATTCTGACGAGCTTGACCGTAAACTAACATGTCGGAGAACTCTTTATTCGAGAACATTGTAAATAAACACGAAGACGTACGCGAACAAAAACAAAACAACACGCCCTATGCTCTGCTCGACAAAACGTTAAAGTAATTTGTCAT